CGGTCCTTTCAATGTCTATTCGATAAGCTTCATGTTAACACTTGATGCGTCGCCTCCTTATTTGCTTAAGTATCGCAAAACAATAGCAAACAGATCATTTGAGTAATCAATTTTTGCAATCAAAGTATTATTGCAATAAAAAACCGCATGTTTCTAATTTGGCAAAACCACAATATTTCTGAGATTTCCCCAAAAGGCAAAAAGGCGCTTTCAACACATTTTTATGGAGTATAATTACTGACCTTGTTTACCACGGCACTGGGTTCTGAAAGACGCGAAAGCCTTGTTACGAAGTGCGGTCAGATCATCACCGGGTGCAGCCTGGACCATGGTACTACACGTGTTCCCTCGTACAGGTAGAATACAGAGGGAACTAAAAAGCCCCAAAGTCCAACTGATGACCCACATTTTACGCGGGTTTTTCATGACCAGCCAGCAGGTCTTCACTTTGATATCTGCGATCAAAACGGGCAGAGCACCACTCCCTGGCACGATGAGCCTAATGTTTGGGATATTGCTTGCTGTCGTCACATAGTTTCCACGGTAACAGTAACAATGATTATTGTTTGGCGTTGGTTCATCGACGATCATGACAGAGCGAAACCCAATGTCATGTGACGTTCGGGATTGTTTTATTTTCCCTTTGAGGAAATATATTGTATTCAACCTCAAAGCAACTTCTCAGCTATACAAAAATTACTTAAGAAACCAAAGCAATGTCGCAAAATATCTTGACATACAATACATTTGGAATACAGAGTTAGTTTTGACACAGTACTTCAAAGGAGTCTCATTTTGTATGACATTTTGCAGTAGATCCATTTGTAAGCGAGATGTATTTTTCCAAAGTAAAATAACGTTTTAAATCAAGTTTCAAAAGTGCAAGGGATGGTCTGCTATCGTTCATCTTCATCTTATAAATGTGTAAACGACACAAAATAAAGATCAGGTTGAAAGCAATCCACGATTTTTGTTTACTTATACCGAAAAGCATAGCCTCATGTTTAAATTAAGAGTCCTCTCAAACCAATCATAGATAAACAAGCGTTTCGCTCTCTAAGATATAGAAAAGCTATTTAACGAACCGGATAGGGTGCGAAAGCGAACGCGAAAGCGAACGCGAACGCGAATTTGTGACGTCATGGCAAGTATTCGCGCTGCGAATTCGTAAATGTTGAACACATTTCAAATCGGGCGAATTTCGCAGCGAATGTTTCATGACGTCAAATTCGTGTCGCATTCGCTTTCGCATGAAGTATGAACCGGGCTTTAGGTTGTAAAGGGACGAAAAAAGTACGTACATTTAATACAAATCTTGCTAAATAACGCAACGTCGAAACCTTATGTTTGAAAGGATTGATTCTTTAAAAAAAATTGAACATTTTAAACATGGCGTCGCGCGTTAGATACATCGACTGCAGTCCTAGTTTAAATGTGCCATTATTTGACACATTTAAATGAGACAATTCCAGTGGCCCTCTGCTGGGACCAGCACAAATGTAGTCTTGCAAGAGACATGTAAGATCATGAGACACCTTAAAAGATCACTGACAGTAAGAAATGATATCTAGAATCAACACAACACTGCAGGTGCACGCTTACACTCTAAAGTGTTTTTATTGAATGAATATACATTTAACACAGAAAAGAGATGTGGAAGAAAAGGCTTGTGTCGTGATATGCCAAACTTTCTCCATCATGTCTGACTACATATTCAATTAATTTCATTGGCTTTAAGGTAATGGCCACCATTTGCAGAAAAGGTTTATATATGCCTTTTCAAGAAACAATAGAGAATAAATATGAAGCAGGTTATTAATGCAAAAACTAAGACAATGTCGAAATTATGCGCAGTAGATGTCATACTTTTGAGAAAACTGTAACAATGCATCTTTATTTTTTTTTCTCACGCAAAGCATGTTTTTGTTGGCTGTTTGAGGGTTTGATTCTTACCATCGCGACGAATTGATGGTTATTCTTTTTGCCTGGAAAAAGACAGAATACTGGGTGGAAATTATTTCATAGATGCTTTATCTCCTTTTATTTTCTGAAAATTAAGAAGGATATTTCATGATATTTTGATAGTTTTATGTTTGAGTGTTTGCAAATGGTGTCGATTACCTTTAACCACTTCAAAATTAAAGGAAATGGGGGAAATTAGAAAAAAAATAAGAAAAAAAAAACCCCAAAAACAATTTGCTAAGGAATATTTCCGGTTACAATTGGTTTTTATTTAATTAAACCAGTTACTGAGATTCATGCTTAACCATGTGGCAAAGGACAATTAATAAAGAGTAATAATCTATATACAATAATGCTCATTTCTAATAAGAAAATAGTGTATACCAGATTTGCTAAGATTATTAAGTAAGGTGTACTAGATATTTGAAAAGTTTCATGCAATATGTTTTGGAATTTTATATAGTGTTGGAGAACAAAATTGTCGGCAGTGCATACTGAATAATATTCATTCCAGGGGTTTACGAAGTGATTTTGAGTGGGTAAACTCGTTTTTAGTGACTCAAATTTACCCACTTCAAATAGCGCCTTCTTATTGCGTCCATCATATTTCATCAAGTAAAATAGTTTGGGACGCTTTAAGTAATTATTATCAAAGTTTCAGGTGCACTTTCATCCGCAGAATGTCAAAACTGAGTGTTTTATTGGTCCCAGAAAATCCTGTGCAAAATGTCTGACATTTCCAGAGAAAAAGTTGAAAACACTCCGTTTGTTTACGTTTTGGCCCTACAAATATTTCTAGCAGTGAAAAAAAGCCATTGAAGTTCAACTCAAAAATGAAACCGTCATTTTTGTCGAGCTGCGAAGCAGATGCGGGCCTATGTAATACCAATTTCCGTCCGTCCGTCCGTCGGTACGTCCGGACGGCCACCCGCATTCAGAAAAAAAATGTTGAAGTTTTTGGTTCTAGCTAACTTGGGGAAAAAAATCAAATGCAGTTTAGATGTATCATCTTTATGACTTCAGTTTGGTTCATATTGCAGTAAATGCTATTATTTTATTGAGGATTTTTAATTCAAGAAAATATTTTATTAATTTTTATTTGTTACATGTTCATGTAAACCGGTATAACATGTACATGAATGTATACCGATATAACATTTACACTATGCATTTCGGGGATGTGCATGTACTTGAACTTGTAGTTTTATGTGGTTGGAGTAGGGATGGGGTGGGGAGGATGGGGTGGGGATAAGGGTGGGGGATAGGGGATAGGGGTTGGAGTTGGGGTTTGGGTTGGTATAAGGATGGGTAGGGGAGCTAGGGTGGGGTGGGGTGGGTTGGGTGGGTTGGGGTGGGGAATAGGGGTTGGAATACTGGGTTTGGGTGGGGTAGGGATGTGTACAAATGTATGGGTGTGGTGGAGACAGGTAGGGGAGGGTTAGAGGGTTGGGGAGGGGGAAGGAAATAGGGATTTGAGTAGGGTTAGGGTGGGGATGTGTAGGGGTGGGTGAGGATGGGTAGCGTAGGTGTATATGGTTGGGTAAGGGGAGGGGCAGGGTATAAGGATCGGAGTAGGGGTTGGGGTCGAGTGGGGAGGTATGGGTCAGTATGGGTAGGGGGATTGGGATGGGCGGGATATAGGGATTCGAGTAGGGGTTAGGGTGGGGATGTGTAGGGGTGGGTAAGTAGGGATAGGGGCATTATAAGGTAGGTGGGTGTAATGTAAAAGGCTCCACAACTGGGTCCTAATTACCCTAACAATGGAAGACTTCCCCATAACGCAGTGACGGCTAACCTATATACACATGTATTTATTAGGTCATCTGTTGACTTTTTATGTTGGCATTTAAAAACTGACCCCTACACCTTGGCACATCAACGAGAATCCTGATCCCCATCATGCCCATCCCCAATACTACCTCCAGCCTCCCTTCCCGCCTTCGACAGCGAGCCATGGCGACTTCGCCGTTCTAGTTCAAGGTATAGTTGTGTGCACGTTTATATTCTACTGGTCATCAATCTGTCCAACGATTATTATTTCGTGAGAAATGGGTATTTATAGCCCAAAAAGTGCGCAACCGGCCAAAAGTGCACATTTAAGAGTATTGTATTTTGAGTGAAAACAATTTCATGTTCTAGTTGGTTTCCAAAAATATCCCTTTCACCATTATTTTTCTACATGCAAAAATGTTATTACGTAATTATATGCCCTTGTATTTTATTACAGAATGTACAACTAAGAATCTAAAATATGCTCAGCAAAAAATTTGAAAAAAGGTAAATTTAAATTCTGTTCACCATAATTTTTTTTTAATCCAACTGATTTCTTTTGCCAGCATCAATGTAGCATGGAAAACTCCTGCCTCTAAAGCTCACTGGAAAATTTGACAATTCAAAACTGTGGAAAAGTCTATATCTTAAACCTGGGTTAACCGTTAGTTCTTCAAGCTTGGATTGTACAGACAAGTTGGGGTACTATTTTGCTTTTTTGGTGTCCTCATGTACACTGGTGTCCTCCATAATTTGCCTTGGTGCTCTCGATCATTTGCCTTGGTGCAATTTCCCATTCCTTGGTGCTCTTTGGTAAAAAAAAAAGAGGAGGTGCGGCAATAGAGGGCGCTGTTGGAGCTACCGCGGAACATTTTGGAAAAAAAAAGATTGACGCGCATGATTAAAATCGACGCGCGCGCTGACCAGAGACCGACTTATTTTTTTTTGGCCTAACGCACATACAAAACTGTGCCTGTAGGGTAATTTCTAAAATCACCTTCAAAGATTGTTTCTTCCGAATGATACCATTTCAGGCAGGGAATTGGTTACCAGTCCTATCTTCATTTTGAGCGAGGAATTTCTTGTTCAATCGCCAGGTACGATTCTGGGTAACTGCAAATGATCCTATGTGTCTTTATGTTTTGACTGAAGCATTCTTAAATTTAACACCACGCATCTATGACTTATATATATATCCCCATGCTCCAGTTTGTCGAATTTCCAGCGAGCACTAGAGCTAGGTTTTCCCAAGCTAGCCTCGATGGACTTTACTCATTAATTGTACAGCCGAGGACTTCAAAGCGCATACAGCAGTGCCTTTCCCACTGAGTAGGCAGGATACGCAGGAACCTGGCCTGCAAAGCCTTCGGGAAAGTGGTGGTCACGTGGGTGTTTTTGTCAAAGTTTCCAGGGAACTGTGGAATAAACAATATGAACACGATTTTTTAAACCAGCGTTGAAAGGTTAAGGCCAAAAAAAAAGTATCCGGTTTCTGGTATGTGCGCGCGTCGCCATAGCCATGCGCGTCGGCAAAATGATTTTTTTTTTTTTTAATGAAAGATGATGTCTCAAAACCGCCAAACTCACTGGTTTGACTGGAATCCTGCTGCTGCACAATTTTAACGTATTTTTAGATTGGGTTATGGTCGAGAATAAGCTTTATGTGGCCTCTCTGAACTCCCATATATTTGCACTAATTTTAGTCGGGCACCATTTGCAGTCATCAGCTGACATTTGAAGCAAAAAAATCAGGTAAAAAAAAAAAAAAGCCGCGTCGCCGCACCACTTTTTGGGCAAGCTCTATACCAGAAACTGGAGACTTTTTTTTTTGGCCTAATGGGATAAGTTTTTCCTTGCAGTCACACGGTCTCAGCAGGAGCGAAAGAGGGAGCCCTCGTCCTACGGCGTGCATAATCTTAGTTTTCAGGGCTTTGTAGAATCAGTGAAATAATTAGAGTATTGAAAACACTAAGGCAAGACAACACATTTGTTGATTGGAAAATGGTTGGAAGGAAACATAAGTCGATCTGACAACAAATCCCAAGTTGGCCTTTTTCCCTTCTCAGTATACTATTTTTTTTTCATTTGCTTTTAAATTTAAGAGCGGCGAGGGACTGGTGTTTACGTGGGTTGGACTTGAACCCACGACAATGTGCTTACTAGTGCGAATGTCTTACCAATCGACCAGCAAGGTTGCCTGGGTCTGTGGCTGGTTCGAATCTGATCGAACTTAATTTTTATCCAACATCAGCACCCGTAAACAGAATGTTTTGGGTTTGAGTCCCAACCGACTGAGTATAAAGCTTGTGAATTTTATCTCAAACTCTCGGAGAGCACTGAGCATACGTTATTTATGAAATTAAATCGGTAAAAGGGCAAATTGAACAATGCGATTGGACTACCTTCATCGGTGTACTTGATTCATCATCGGTGACGTCGGTCCATTCTTGGCCATCGTCGCTGTAGGCCACTTCGAACTCTGTCACCCAATCTAGGTAGTTCCCATCCCAGCGCCCCTGGGTGATAACGCCAGTGATGATGACATTGGAACCAAGGTCGACTTGGATCCACGGATGGGTTTCACTAGCTCCAGTATTACACCAGGCTGAGGCGCTACCGGCTGCAGAGTAAGCAGATAATCAAACAGTTGGGCATAGAATACTGCTTAGCAAATGTATGTGCTCAGCTAAAACTGACAACCTGCCACAAGCATTACACCTGGGAGAGGCTACACTTGCAAAGTAAGCGGATAATAAGGAGAAAGTATTGCATGACCAGTTTTATATGCTAATCAAAAATCGGCAGGGAAATAGTCACAAGCAGTGCACAGACTTTTTGCTGGTAACGCTCCTTCATGTGTTTTATACAGCCTGTCCCCCAAAAATGCTGCAAGCAGAAACGGGCTCTGTGTCCTTGGAATATTGAAAAATATTGCATGATGCTTTATATAATGTTAAACCACGGATATTCAGCTTTCAAATGCTATTTGTTTCATCAATTTTGCTTTTGCCAAGTTAGAGATATAGTCCGTTGAACACAAACACTCAAAAATCAATTTGTGCCACTTTCTACATTATTATGCCTATAATGACATGACAAGATATGGCACCGGTTCAAATCCGACTTCAATTGAGTTTCGCAATTCCAGAAGATATGTTTTTATGATGATGATTTAGAGAGTGTGTTACAAATAATGAAAAGAACATTATAATATGAATAACTAAAGTGTTTCTTCACCTATTCATTACTAATTGTATTTCTGCACGATCATACATGTGTTTAATACTGGCAATTTCTGTTTATAGCATCAGCTTACGGAAAGTGGCACAAGTTTGAGTGTTTGTGTTCAACGGACCATATCTTTGGTTTGGCAAAAGCAAAATTGATAAAACAAATAGCTAGCATTTGAAAGCTTAATATCCCAGGTGTAACATTATATAAGCATCATGAAACATTTTTCAATATTCCAAGGACACAGAGCCCTTTTCTGTTTGCAGCATTTTTTTTTTGGGGGGGGGGGCAGGCTGTGTGTTGTGCTTAGCACCTCTATATGACAGTCAGCCATTGAGGAATGAACGACTAGTGAAACTTGTGAAAGTTCCTACTTGTGAAAGTTCCTGACCACAAAATGTGTAGTTATACAATTGAGCAAAACAGACTTCACTTTGAAGCACCACCCCTCCGAGGAGAGTTTTAAACGTTTGGCATTTTTTTCACTTTTGACGAATTGTTTTTGTTTGAGTTGTCTTATTCTTCATCCTATGTAATTGTTAAACGACAATAATGTTACCTTGAAGGTTAAGCCGAGCCCTGGTGGGTCCGTGATTGGTCTTGTTTTGCCACATTGACGACGCTGTGATGCTTGCGTCTGGGATGCGACCGTCTTCCATCCCAAAGGGTCCTCCCTTAGAGCACTTCAAATCATCTGTCGGAGGTACTGGAAAATATCGATCAGGGTGGGGCGGGGTTCATTAAAACAATCACAATCATGTATGTTGATTTTGATTTGTACATGGACGCTGTAGCTCAATCAGACGAAGTGTTTCAAGTATTGTGATTATCATGTTTCACTCAAGCGTCCGTGAATGAATGCAAATCTCTTGTGTATAACAGGGTTGATAATTGTTCCAAATTTGCATATTACAACTCGCGACACAAAGGTCAGGAGGTCATCCAAACCAGATGCGAGATGGCAGATGGGGAACACCGTAGTAGCGCGAATTTCACTTTACTAGTGTGCTATAGGCTCGTTTGAAAGAGAGACAAATAAGTCATTCATAAGATAAATAAGTCGTTTAAACAAGATAAAATCCGTAGCTTAAAAAAGATGAATAAGTCGTTTAAACGAGATAATAAGTCGTTTAAAGGAGATACTATGTCGGTTTTTTTTTGCAGCAATACTGGTACGCTCTACAAAACGCACAGCCAGGCCATGTTTTTTTTAATTTACACGCAAGCGGTTTTGGCGCAGAAGTCGGCGGCGCAATGACATGAAACAAATTAATGCGCGTCAGTATCAGATTATGTTTTTTTCTGAGACCAGCATTTTTTAAAGGGATATTACGTTCTCGAATGCGCCAAGTTGGACAACAAAATTGGAAAGAGCATTTAAAAGAAGGATAAAAAAATCGACATCATAACCATCCTTTAAAAGTCAAAATTTTGACTTTCAAAAATCGAGCTGTTGGGTGCTAGTTTTGAATTCTGCCGCACTTGTCTTACCAGTGCATCGTATTTTGCGGACGTGCGAGAAACAATAGCGTGTGTATTATGTGCCACACACGCGCAACGAGTAAGTACCGTGCATTGAATGAACACGGCTGAAATGTCCGCCGCGTCCGATCCACGCGATGTGAACGACCGTCCCCCTTCTTTCTTTGGAACGGTAAGACATTAGAATAGTTTCCTTTCAACCAGACCTTTGAAATAGGATTAGTATTAATCAATCCAAAACATGACATTTTCGGGGATTTTAGGCAGCAATTCCCTTTAAAAACGCTAAAATCAACGGATACACGAGAAAGTTGCATGCCTTATTTCAATAATTTCGATTCGCCAGGGGGTATAGTTTAATGGTTTTGATTGATTGATTGATTGATTGATTGATTTGATTGATTGCCATTTATTTACAATGGTATACAATAGAAAGTGTTGTGGTTCTCGTGCTCAAAACATTAAAATATTAAACTTTACATGGCAAACATAAAACAACCACATAATTTATATTAATTCCCCTTTGAATTATCTCCTTAAAAAGTAAAAGTCATTAACAAGACAAACGAATTATTACACTGTAATGTAACCAGTGCTTTGACTAGCCCGCTGCGGTATAACCTTGCATTTGGCTAGCCGGCTACCACTAAGCTCGATCCATTAATATGCCTACATGGCAATCCCCCCACCCTCCTCTCCCCCGGAGATTCCACTGTCGACGCCGCTGTCAACGCCGCTGTCCCCTCCAAATCCTGACTAGAAATCGCCTCTCTTGGTGCGTATCCGATGGGTTACACCAAGGGTTATGCGTACTCTGTGACGAAAAACCAAAAGTACAGGCAGTACTCCGCTTTGAATTTTTTTTATGCTGGCTCTGCTTTTCAGTGAACTATACAATTGAAATGTCATGGATAATTTGACTTAATTTATTTATTTCATTGATGCCCAATTGATTTTGGGCAGGAAGACGAGGCAGAAAGCTAGCAATTAATGGTTGTGTCTCTTTTGTATATTTTCCCGGAGTTACTGCATTATAAATGAACGAGGCTCACTTTATGATCTAATTGATGAGAGGAAAAATATCACCAGAAAGGCCTTGGCAATGCTACATTCTAAGATACTATAGGTTTCCCGACTATTTAAATTAAAACATTCTTCATTCCAATGCACCAACTCTAACATTCAATTTCGTCCGAGAAAAATGTCACATGCTTTAAAAAGAAAACCACTTCAGCCATTTATTCAAAGTTTGGTAACCCTCTTTAGTCACCGGGTCGATATTCGACATTACAGATCAATTTCGATATTACCGATCAATTTCGCCGTGCAGCCGGCATTCAGAAATCGAATTCATCTGATATGAATCAATTAGACGAATTTAATTTCTGAATAACAAGGTTTGGCGTAGACGAGACGAGATCGAATACTCCGGGGCGAAACGTGTGCTCATTATTTAAATTTGCCAAAAAATAAAATTAAACATTGGAAGTGCATTAAATCGATGTTGATGGACGAATTTGAATATTAGAAACAGTGAATTCGAGTAATGAACATTTTAAAATAGTCGGGAAAACCTATAATAAAAATAGTGACAACCGTGGACCAATGTTTTAATTTTAATTTCAAACGACAGTAATTTGTCTTATATTACTGAAAAGGAAGGCCAATAGGCTGACTTCTTCATACTTTAAAAGGAATTGAGCCAATTTTTGTCTTCATACTCATTAACCAACGACTGATCACCCCTCAGTACCTCCCTGTCTCATTTCGTTTGAATATTGTTATTTCTTATAAATATCATTGCTCCCTGTGACTTTCGGATCAGGAAGATGTACATGAATGTACACACTATGAAGTCTCATGCAGTAACTCTCTTGTTCACCCGATTCTACCGGCCTTGCATTTAAGCGCAAAATCATCATAACAAAAATCTACGATGGAGGGAAATTATTAAATTCATATTTAATAACCTATCGACAATACTGGTAAGCAATGAGGCAGAAAGGAAGCGCTTGATGACTGCGTTCCTTTGTGTGTATCCGGTGGTTAATGTATTATAAATGACGTAACATAAAATGCAGAAAGGCTTCAGTGATCACGCTTTTAGTGAAAATAATTATCCTTGAGTACGGCAGCCTTTATTTGGATTTGGGGAATCTGCCACAACCCGGCTACCGTTTTAGAATCGATTGAGCTTTTCTTTCTTTTCCCCGGACCGTCATTCTCAGCGACTTTTCTTCAACCTGTTCCCAGCAGGAACTTGAGACTTGGAACGAAAATCAACCCTGATACAGAAGGTACATCATCATGACGTCATCGGGTATCAAATTAACATTTTTTTAAACTCATGGACAAATAATAAACAATCATGTTAATATAGGTTTTCCCGGCCAAAATACCAAGTTTTTATTTAATGTAACGCCTGGCTCATTCAATTTAGATTAAAATTGTAAAATCACGCACATCGTCATTCGACCATCAAAAAGAATCATTCAATTTCACTATCCTTGCATTCTAAAAGTATCGTCTTGTTCATTCAATTTTGTCTGAACCAGCAGTAAGGGTTGATCGGACTTTCATTTTCATCAATGGGCAAACATATTGTACATTTTATCAAGCATCTTTGTGTGTACCCGTTTTCCTATAAAATTCTGAATTATGTCTGCGTAAATTACATCAGACGTCTTCGATCCGTAGATGCACACCTCTCTTGCTTAAGAGTCCATGCAATGAATTTATCTAAGGGAACACATTTTCTGCAACTTTTGACTCCTCTTAAATGCATGAAAACTATTTGACATCCCTTTTTGGTATATACTCTTATTTATACTCTTTAAACAGTTAAACGTTTCCGTGCTTTTCCAGACTACTGAGGACGCTGTTGCTGTGATGTCAATTCAGAAAGACTCTGTTCAGCTAGAAGTTTTCTGTTCAAATTGTCAGCCTAAAATTTGAACGTACTAAAACGAAATGGAATGCCCCAAAACGAAAACGAACATTTGGAGCAAAATCTTGGGTGCCTAAAAATTAAAATTGAATGCCCAATTTGATCAGATATGTGTAAAACATCACGCAAAATTGAATGGCTGATGAAGAAAATGATCAGGAAAAAAAATATGGAAATTGGCCGGGAAAACCTATACTTTGCAAATCTGATAGGCCATACCTTCATTAACATGCTTGACCTTTCCTCCCGGAGTTACCGGAAGGTTAAAGTTAGTTGAATTAAAAATACATACAGAATCCTCAATATCATAAGAAAACTTATTGCTTCCAAATAACGGGTGAATGGACGAGGAGGTAACCTGGTTTGAACATGAACCCTGGTCCGGAAATGTGACGAATTTTGTGACGTCATCCGGGTCAAATTACAAGCGATTTCAGGTGAAAAGTTGAAAAAAATTAGTTAGGACATCAACTTTTTGCACTGACTGAAGTAGGCCCTACTATGTTCATTTTTTATGCGGAGTGGTAAATATTGCCCTGGGCAATATTTTTGACTCCGGAGCATAATGACGCTTGATCTTTACTTCGTGTGCTACCGAAAAGTGCAATGAGAAATTAATAAAACTTGAATACGAAACATTTTACTATAGGTTTTCCCGGCCAATTTCACAAAGTTTTCATTCAATTTAACGCCTGACTCGTTCGATTTAGATTGAAATTGAAAGATCACGCAGATCGGCATTCGACAATCAAAAAGAATCATTCAATTTCACTATCAGAGCATTCTATCGCCTGTCAGCTTCACTCGTCCCTATCAAAGATGCATTCATATTAAAAGTATCGCGTTGTTCATTCAATTTCGTCCTAACCAGCAGTAAGGGGTTGATCGGGCATTCGTTTTCATTAATGGGCAAACATATTTTACATTTTGTCAAACATCTTTTAAGACTTCATACGTTTCCTTATTCTTTAGAGTAAATCATATTTGATGTCTTCAATAATTAGACGCATTTCTTTCTTAATTAAAGGGTATGTGCAATGAATTTTTCTCAGGAATTCTTTTTGTGCAACTCTTTACTACTATGAAATGTAAGAAAACTACACCTTGACAACAATTTTTGGTTAATGTTTTCCCGGCCAATTTCACCCAGTTTTCATTCAACTTAACGCCTGGCTCATTCGATTTAGATTGAAATTGAAAGATCACGCAGTTCGGCATTCGACAATCAAAAAGAATCATTCAATTTCATTATCCGAGCATTTTATCGCCTTTTAGCTTCACTCGGCCCTATCAAAGGTGCATTCATTTTAAAAGTATCGCGTTGTTCATTCAATTTCGTCTAAAGCATTAGTAAGGGGTTGATCGGGCATTCGTTTTCATTAATGGGCAAACATATGTTACATTTTGTCAAACATCTTTTAAGACTTCATACGTGTCCGTATTCCTTAGCGTAAATCATATTTGATGACTTCAAACCGTAGATTGACTTTCTTTCTTAATTAAAGGGTATGTGCAATGAATTTTTATCAGGAATTCTTTTTGCGCAACTCTGTGAAATGTAAGAAAACTACACATTTGACAACACTTTTTGGGTTAATCTTATTGCAAATGTGCACTCCTTTAAACGTTTAAAAGTTTCCATGCTTTTCCGGACTAACGCTGTTACTGTGATGTCATTTCAGAAAGACACTGTTCAGTTTAGGGGTTTTTTCTTTGAAATTATTCATCCAAAATTTGCTAATTGAAAACATATGTGGGAAAGGGATGGTCATTGGCTTACTGCCATAAACTGACACATCATATAATCACCAAAGAAAAGAAATTGATGACATCAAAATATCCAACATTCTAGCAACGTTTTTTGCTGAAATAGCCGTGTAACATTAATCATGCTCGGAATGCCATCACAGGTTTTCTAATGAATATGAAACTTTGCATTAGCATAAAAACGAAGAAGGCACCAAAAACACCCCTCAAAATGGAAAATAAAACTTGCAAATAAGGTTGAATGTGACACCAAGATGTATTTTCAAGGTTTGCATTGCAGACTTTGCATGGGCCCTGTGAATACGGTAAGTGTTTGGTCAGACATACGCAGGAAAACATTTAAGAAATAACGCAAGACAAGTGTTCCCGACGATACAACCATTGCCAAACATACGTGTCCCGATGTATTGCACGTCAAGAAGTCGTCAACGTAAAAAAAGCCCCTTGATCAACCGTTTAAACAAGTATACAGAAAAGATCAACAGTGAAAAAGAAATTATCTTAGTCCCTTTCAATTCATTATTTCGTTGCATCTTGTTTCCCTCATATCAGTTGATTTGTAACATTGTAAATTTTACAGTTAATCAAGATTTTTGAGGGGAAATAAACCTCGGAGAAAAAATAGGAAAAAATATCGATTAAAAAATCTTACTAATTTAAATGACCAAACGATGAAAGCGATTGCCCATAAACGAATAAGAAACGAAAAGCATGGTTATACATTATAAGCGCACAGATGTTTGCTAATTTGAATGCGTCAACCGTCATAAGGTTGCAAAGACTTAATTTAATACTGCTACAAGTTAAGTCTTGAATGCACCAAAACGAAATAGGCTGCCCGAAAATGAAAACGAACATTCAGAGCAAAATCTTGGCTGCCTAAAAAATGAAATTGAACGAACCCAAAACTTATTGCAAAAGTGCACTTCTTTAAACGTTTAAAAGTTTCCATGCTTTTCCGGACTACGTATGATCTATGAGCGCGCTGTTACTGTGATGTCATTTCAGAAAGACACTGTTCAGTTTAGGGGTTTTTCTTTCAAATTGTTCATCCAAACTTTGCTTATTGAAAACATTTATGGGAAAGGGTTGCTCATTGGCTTACTGCAATGCACTGACACAACAAAGAATCACCGACCAAAAGAAATTTATGACAGCTAAATATCCAAAATTCTAGCATTTTGTGTGTGCTGAAATAGCCATGTAACATTAATCATGCCCGGAATGCCATCACAGGTTCAGGCTAATGAATATGAAACTTTACATTAGCATAAAAATGGAGAAGGGACCCAAAAATCCTTTAAAATGGAAACATAAAACAAATAAGGTAAATTGTGACACAAAGATGTATTTTTAAGGTTTGCATTGAAAACTTAATTGTATGGGCCCTTTGAATATACGTTAAATGTTGGGTCAGACATTAGGCAAGAAAACATTTAAGAAATAACGCAAGAGAAGTGTTCCCAATGGTACAACCAAGGTTTATTTCCCCTCAAAAATCTTGATGACTGTAAAATTTACAATGTTACAATTTAACTGATATGAGGGAAACAAGATGTAACGAAATAATTAATTGAAAGGGACTTAGATAATTTCTTTTCACTGTTGATCTTATCTTCTTGTTTAAACGTTTGAGCAAGGGCATCTTTACGTTGACGATTTCTTTACATGCAAGACATCGGGACACGTATGTTTGGCAATGGTTGTACCGTCGGGAACACTTCTCTTGCGTTATTTCTTAAATGTTCTCTTGCGTATGTCTGACTGAACACTTACCGTATTCACAGGGCCTACGCAAAGTTTTCAATGCAAACCTTGAAAATACATCTTTGTGTCACATTTAACCTTATTTGCAAGTTTTATTTTCCATTTTGAGGGGTGTGTTTCGTGTCTTCTCCGTTTTTATGCTAATGCAAAGTTTCATCATCATTAGAAAACCTGTGATGGCATTCCGAGCATGATTAATGTTACACGGCTATTTCAGCAAAAAGGTTGCTAGAATTTTGGATATTTTGCTGTCATAAATTTCTTTTATTTAGTGATTATATGTTGTGTCAGTACATGGCAGTAAGCCAATGACCAACCCTTTCCCACAAATGTTTTCAATTAGCAAATTTTGGATGAATAATTTGAAAGAAAAACCCCTAAACTGAACAGTGTCTCCCTGAAATGACATCACAGTAACAGTGCGCTCATACGTAGTCCGGAAAAGCATGGGAAATGTTTAAAGAAGTGCACTTTTGCAGTAAGATTAACTGATTTTTTTTCAAATGTGTAGTTTTCTTACATTTCGCAGTAGTAAAGAGTTGCACAGTAAGATTTTCTGAGAAAAATTCATTGTACATAATTAAGAAAGAAAGGCATCTACGGACTGAAGTCATCAAATATGATTTACGCTAAGGAATACGGACAGGTATGAAGTCTTAAAAGATGTTTGACAAAATGTAACATAATTATGTTTGCCCATTAATGAAAACGAATGCCCGATCAACCCCTTACTAATGCTTTAGACGAAATTGAATGAACAACGCGATATTTTTCAATGAATGCATCTTTGATAGGGACGAGTGAAGCTAAAAGGCGATAGAATGCTCGGATAGTGAAATTGAAATATTCTTTTTAATTGTCGAATACCGATCTGCGTGATCTTTCAATTCAATCTAAATCGAATAAGCCAGGCATTAAATTCAATGAAAACTTGGTGAAATTGGCCGGAAAAACCTATAGGCCTATTTTAGGAAAAGATGGTGCTGTGCTACCTTTGTTTGTGACGTCACCCCCAAAAAAGAAATTGGGTTCTTTTTTTTCTTTTTCTTTTTGGTGGAAGAGGCATGGCCCGGCCTCCCCCCTCCCTTGGATCAGCCCTTGGGCCTTTGGCACTTTTGTTGGCTTGGAAAATTCTGGGGGGGGGGGGGGTGTCAAGTGCCCCCCAGCCCCCTACCGCATGTTATTGTACGCGGATAGCATTGGTCTATTGCCAGACTTACATGTAGTCTCGCACGCAGCAGCAGTAATAACCCGTGCACACATTATTCCGTGCTGCTGCGTTGCGTGGAGCGGGATCGGGAATATACTTTGCCCGTGCCCGACGGAGGGCCGTCTGCCATGGCAATGTCTGGTCACATCGCGGTGTTTGCTCAGCGCGTACCTGGACAGTGCGAAGCTCCGGGGGGGGGGGGGGGGGGGGGCAGGCGCGGTTCTAGAACCAATATTTTTTTTGGGGGGTGGGGGGGGGGGGCTAGTAGGATGGATCCAGATTTTTTTTCAGGGAGGCATGCTGAAATGTAGACCGGTTATTTTCTCCAGACACAAAGGCCTCCGAAAATCAATTGGGGGGGGGGGGGGGGGGGGGGGGGGGGGGGCGGCTCGTGCCATATTTTCATAGGGGAGCGCTGATGAAATCCTACAATTAGGCATACTATTCAAATACACCCTTCCCACGACTATTATTTAGGGGAGACCGTTCGTATTTGGGGCCGATTTTTATGTTTTTTTGGGGGGGGGGGGGCTAGACCGTGAATTTTATTATTTTTTGTTTGGGGGGGGGGATACAGCCCCCCCCCCCTAGCCCCCCTCCCCCCGTAGAACCGCCACTGGGGGGAGTCGTTACTTTTTGTTATCAGTGGTAAAAGCCTTATTCAAAAATCAAATTATTGTTTGTTTGGATCCTATGATATCAAACATTTTGATAGGTTGGAACAATTTAGATTTATAAAACATGTTGAAAGTAAATAACGTAGCTCTTACAGAGTAATAGAAACTCCAAATTTGGCCATTTAAATTGTTGTATCTCCAAAATGGAAACATGCATATATTGTTGATTCAAACGCCATTAATTTTGTTGTGTAATGTGGTTTTCAGCGATACAAAAATGTATGAGATTTCTTTAAAAAAAATAAAAAATGTAATGGACTCCCTACACTCAGTAAGGGCAACATCAAAATATTTAGAGGGCGGAAGTACGAGGCGATGCACAACGCGGTGACAGACGCAACACACGACGGTGCGGCATGCGACGCGACGGGCGACGGAAGGAGAGACTTTCAGGCACGAAAATCTACAAGATGAAAGGACGGTACGACGCGACGGGCACGACGTGATGGTGCAACGGTGCCATCGTGCCGTCGCCTTGAAGAGGCGATGCACTGTGTTGTCAATAGTACACCATAGGTTATAATCTCCATGATTCTTCAAACGTTCGATTTGTTTCCCTGATCGCAGTTTCAAAGAATATGATGTCCGTGAAGGAATTTAGAATGCTTTATAGCATTGAGTTGCAATATACCTTAACAAGAACTTTCTGTGTTGCGCTTGTTGCATGTAAACAAAGCGTGATGTTATTAGGTATTAGGTATAATCATTACAATAGACTTATACTCACCATGACAGTTGAAGTAGTCATGAATGTCCTCCTGGTCGTTGGTAAAGATGGGAGTGTCGGTGTAGAACGGTGGATGAGACCAACGGACTGGCTGCATGTAGACGGGACCCGGTCTGGTACTGGTACAGGCGCAATGATCTTCCTTACTCCCCGGCATAAACCAGCGAAGACGGCCTGGATGTCTCGCATCAGGCTCCTGGCTAAAGTAGCAGACCCGCTCAGCCGAAACCACGCCCATAAGGGTATCTAAAATGAAGAACATTTCACGCAATAAAAAATGCATTGCCGGTATGTTTTCGGTATCGATTGTATCCGCTAAGATAAACTAAACAAAAACAAAACAAAACCCACCCTTTCAAAAAAATAAAATTAAACAAGCAAACAAACATCCCTACAAAAAACAAACAAATGCGAGTTCACAATAAGCTCTGGCCGTCTTGCATGAAATCTATCAAAATGATCCCTGCCAGAGCTTAAAAATGTGACGCCAAAAAATGCGACACCGATGGCACACATGGAGCACCATACTTTAGACGTTACCTAGATTTATAGCGATTTGTGATGAATACCACGTGACAATATTATTACTGCACATATTTTGCCTCCATTTACAAACATCTTTCGAAATTGTTGCAAACAATTTTTGGTTAACTTTTTAATTTATTTTGTATGTTTTTTTTTCTATAAATTAAAATTTCATTGGTAGTTCTATTTTGTGGGAAACTTATGGGCTGATTTTGGTCAATTGTCGGGGACAGACAAATGCACAATAAACGCGCGTGCGCATCGATCGAACGAAATCGCTGTTCCGAAAACCATCAGCAAGAGTGCATTTTATGACCACGGCATGGCGTTTGGACAATTAGTCAATTATTCCTAGTCAATTTTGGGGACAGACAGACAGACCGACGGACCGACCAACAAGTGACATGTAGTCTTGCCAGAGCTTAAAAACCCACACGGTACAACTTTTAAACTCTCCTTTATAATTATGATGAACAAATCTAAACATTTCAAATGATTTCTACAAAACTTTCTTCCTGTATCCTGATTCGATACCGCGATTGGCTAAGGATTTATATCGTGTAGTTGGTGTTGTATTTTCAACGTGCATTACGTGTTTTCACGATCATTGTAATTATAACGTCCACCGCCTTCTAAATAATACTCCTTTCCTTTCCAATTTGCTCATATTTATATGAAATGTGAAACTGCAGATTGGCTGGACAAGATTGTAACATTTTAACTTGTAAAACAATCGTGTTGTCGTAGCTCACGGGGCGACAAATTGATTCCGTTTTTACCACAGACACTGCTAAAAAACAATAATGTAACGCACAGGCAGGCACCAGACTACTCCTCATTTGGTACGTGTTCAAAAATTTTACACATGCAAATGATCCAATACCAGGGTGAGAGAGCAGATAGTGGTGGGTGCGTACTCTCGACACCCTGCAGAGGGCGAGGTTGCGTGATGATTTGTTTAATATCCTTCATTTATGACAATGAAGTGCAAACGGTTGCCATATTTCACAGCATAACCGGCTAACTCTGCACAATTACATTAGCCTGGAAGTTGCACGGAGGAACGTTTTCCCTTTGAAATGTTGTCAGACTTTCTCTTTTTTACAAAACCCGAAAATTTTGCCGAAAATTTGGAACACGTTGCACACAGCCAAGCGAGTGTTCTGTTCAATAAAATCAGTATGTAAAGGGCTTGACAGATGTCATTTTGTTCTGAGAGTAAGTGTGGCAAGAAAAGCCTTCTAACATGATCACAGAATACTAAATGACTTCTTTCTTTGTTTTATTCCAATTGACAATGAGTCCAGCGTCGGCGGAACGGTTTTCAAACAGGGGAGGGGCATCACCAAAAAAGGGGCACTTGGTCAGTAAAATGCATCTTTCGTCGGTGCAGCAGCACATCCGTGCTGAAATGTCAACACGATTTCTTTCAGCAGACACTTGGTAGGGGGGGGGGGGGGGGGGTTAGAAGCATCTTCCAAAATAGGGGCACTCTTCAAAACCGGCCATTATGCAAAGTACGCATTATGTGCCATTGTAAGGGTTTTGGGGCTTGGTTTTCATATTCCTCGTTCATTTCAAAACCCTCTATACCATTTTGGGAAATGGTTACTGAAAAGAAATTCTATGAAAATTTTTGGGCCAGTTTTGTTTTGCATTGCGAGGGGGCACATTTATGTCCGCACGAGGGGCACTTCGGTAAATCGGGGGGGGGGGGGGCAAAACAATAATTAGTCTAATTTAATGAACACTTCTTTTTCAGCCAAACATCCCATGGCCTCAAAATGAATAATATAATTAGTGAGTGACCAAATACCGGATAAGCGAGACCCCAAGTATAAGGGTTAAGTGACATTGAACAGCCGTCATGTTGACAATTATCCAATTGAGTGGTCGGTTTATATGGCTTTGCGAGGACATCGTATACTCTTGGTAGACATCGTTCACATCGCGAAGAAGCACGGTTCAACAATATAATATTAAGAAGATGCAAGGTCAAATGTTAACAATGCGAATGTACATGGTTCAAATTGCAAAGGAAGCAAGGTGCGACATTGTTATCAAGCATGATTCATGGTCCACATTGACCCGATCGATCGTGAACATTAACAAGATAGATCGTTCACAATGACAAGAAGCAGCTTCCACATTGCGAAATTAAGCAACGTACAACGTGCATATTGCGAAGGTTAAACGTTCATATTGCGAGGTTTCAACGTTAATATTGAAAAGGTTAACATTGAAGTGTCGTTCCAGGGCGACCGTATCCCCCTTACAAGTATTGAGGCTTCTTCAAACAAGTTCATGACGTTTGTCTATCCCACTTGTTTTATATTATTTGGTTCAATTTTGTCTGCCTTTTTGCTTTCAGTTAAATCAATCAAGCTCACCGTTTCATTTTATTTGTGGGAAAAAAAGTGAGTTAAAGGCCCAGGGTTGGTTGATTTAAATCACATTGATTTTAATAACTCATTTATATCGCGATTTAAATCAAATGATTTTTTCTAAATCACTGCTTTAAATCACTTTTTTGTAAAGATCTTTTTTTTGGCAAAATAACGGAACATTTTAATCATTTAAATTAACTGATTCCACCTTATTACAAAGTGTAACGTTGCTGTAGAGATTATTTTCCTGTTTAACGTCGGTCAGCATCACATATGGAATTCCTGAACCACCCGGATCAATAGATAAGATGCATAGAGTATGTACTAGGCGTGAAACAAGCTTCTTTAACGAGGTAAAACGTAACAAAAAACAGGTCAAAATTATATGTAGAGATTTCTCATCCTGGACCTCAGTCGTAATGCAATGAAAACTTCGTCCAACCTGGGCTATAAGGTAGACTACATGTAGATGAAATCAAGAGATTGTTTATTGTTTATCTCTGATTTTTTTTTCAAAAGCATTTATCAATTCAGTTTTTTTGGATGATGGGTATTATAGGAACCTGTAAACTCCTTAGTGATGAGTGTAAGGGTGCATGGGGAGTTTTTAGACACATTTTAGACGTATCAATATTTTGAATTGAAAAAAAAAATATGATTTAAATTTAAGAAATCTGCATTTCAATCAAATAAATCCGATTTGTTTTAATTTTAATGCCATTCACGAATCGGCCTAGTTTCAAGCAAAAAAATAATGTCTTGGTGCTGCACTTTGCCAAAAGCAACTTCAGCGCAGTTACAGTCTTTTCACTGGAATTATGAGTAAGATTTGAGGCTTTGCATGCATGGTGGAGATACTAAAGAATGAAAGGTTTGCGGAAACACCTTGTGGGAATAATTTCTCAACTAAGAGAATGGTTCTGAAAAAAAAAAACCCCACAGGTATATACGCGACGTTCCGGTCAGTATGCTCTGACCGTCTTCAAGAGAGTGATTATAACTGGCATTAACCTTATGGTCAATCACAATTTAACGGCCCGTAATAAACGAATTGTAATTCATGGCTTACTAAAATACTACAAAAAATATATACAATTAAATTGAGGGGGGTCATGTCGCTGCCCATGGAAATGCCCAGGTTTATCAATTTGTGAGTTTGATGTATTCAAATAGTGTTAACTTCGATCCCAACCCTAATAACACTTCTTGTCTTCCTTTCCTATACAAATTCGTTTGGTTCGGAAGTGAAGCGCCTTCAGGAAACACAACACGCCAAGCGATTAATCTGAGGTTAGGGTGAACGTCATCATCAGGAATAACGGGACAATAAAACTAATCAAATGCTGGGAGAAAAAAATTGAAGTGAAATAATGGCGACTTACCAAAGACGCAAGCAACAAGTGACGCCAGGGCAAGACGCCGCATCCTGATGACAGGCTCGGTTCCTTCCTCCCGATAGAATTTGGTCCGGTTTGGTTTTTGTACTGGGTTCGAAATCCGAATGACAGATGTTTCAAAATGTAGATATTTCACCACCAGTCAACACGTTTTGCCGAGTACATTCAACGCACTAATCATAGGCCTATCGGGTGCGATTCAGCATTACGCCCGGGCAGCCGGGCTCATTGATGCACGGTCATTGGCTACTAAGATTAATATTAACGCTAATGCATATTCATGGCACAGGAGCCTTGCGGTGAGGGAGACCTTTGGGAAGACTAGGCTGGTTCCCGCTTGCATAATATGGGGACCGGTAGCTAGTTTTCATTTAAAGCCATTGATTGGATCACCTCTGCGCGTGCGCAGCATGATTATTTTTTTTTTTTGAAAAATGATGTTTACATCATGGACGACAGTTGAACACATGGCTTATCTAAAAAAAAACCTGACTCTTATCATAACCAGTACTCTTATCATAACCAGTAGGGAAAATCGCCAGTGTCTCCACAAAGGCAACTTTCAGGCACACTTCAACTGCATAGGTTTCAAATGCTGAAAAGTACTGCCCCTCTTTATATCTCTTTATTGATAATTGCCAGAGACACTTTCGAATTCAGCGAAAATCGAAGCTTATCACCAAACAAACTACACATTGGTGATAGCCTTGTTGCCATTTTGCAATAGGCTGGTTCCGCGCTAACATTTGTGATTTTGTATTCAGGGGGCGGGAATCAGACCTATGATAGTCCTGCATATAATGCTCTGAATTCGAAGCCCCAAGTCCGGGCCAGAGGTGCATTGCCATATTTCTTAAATTTCCCAATTCCATGGCTCTTAGAACCCTTTATTAAATATAGAAGAATTTGAGTGTATAACTTGTATTCATGAGCTCGG